GTGGCTGATGAAGATCTGCAGGACAAAGAAACAGACGTCAGAAACAGAAAGTATTAAAGACTTAAATAAAAACAACTAAGTGTTGGCTCAGGGCTCTTACCCTTGCCCTCTGTAATTGTTCGAGGAAGAGGGTAGAGGTGGACATCTTCATCTGGGCCAAATTCCCAATTTCCCGAAGCAATAAGAAAGTCATCCCCAGCCCCCTTGTTGGAGTCTGGGAGGTCGGCTACAATTTTAAACTCAGTTGACCTCGGCTTAAGGTAATAAACAAAGCCCCTATCTTTCAGGTTAAGGGGGCACATTGTATAACAGTACTGAAGGTCGGCCAGATCCTAAGATTCTCCTGCCTAGCTAAAGCTATAATACCGTTAATCACCCTGTAGGAGTTGATAGTAAGTTGCATGGGGTTCAGTCTGTAGAAATGAAGAACTTCGCGAAACAAGGGATCAAGTGGAAGCCGAAGTCCACATTCGGTAAAAGCCACTATAGGAAAGGGCATCGTATGGTCTGTAGGCATAATGGTATCATTATCCCCAGCTAGCTTAAGATGAACATCGACTGGGATAGAGAATTCTTGCCTAAAGTATTCGAGTTTTGTTGGGGTATTTACCCTATGCCTCCACATACCCATTACGTCGGCCTAAACAAAAAGGAGTGTTTTTCAGAAGATGGGCGTTTTAGAAGGATTGGAAAAACCTCGCCAAAGGCCTAGGAAAGGACTGATTAGGCTTGTTTCGGTTTTTTCCTAAAATTTCAAGGTTCTACACACAAATCCCAAGCCTAAGAACTATAAAGATCATGATTGAAGGCACAGATCTGGGGCAGATACAAAAAGAGAAAACAAAGACGGAGTTTCAGATTCAAGACCAGAGGTATAGTTCTCAGAAACAAAAGAAATACAGAAGTGAAAAAAAAATCAAGAACAGTGGCAAGAAAAATGTTGAAACAGTGCAAATGTTCAAAATATAAGAGAAATCAAGCAACAAAGCAGTAAGGGTAAAAACACAGAAAAAGATTGGGAGTAAAGAGAACAGGGCCTTACCAGAACAAATGAAGTCGGAAGGAACGACGCCGAGAAATGGTAAGGATTGCAGGCACGACGAAACAGAGGAAACTTCGCTAAGGTGAAGGGAAAGAAAATCGCAGAACTTCGAGTTAGAACAATGGTGGATTTCAGAAAGTTTAGAGAGAGAGAATGCAAGAAGTCATAATACAAAAAGTAAAGAAAGGAAAAGATGGAAGGAAAAGTTTTATCAAAAACTTGAAACGGCGGCAAAAATAGGGCACTTATTACGCCTGGAGCACCGTATACGTCAGACGACGCAGACGGATGAAGAGACAGCCTTAAGGCGCGTCGTAGGAACGGGCCAATAAAAATAAAACACGTGAAAGGAACGGTTAGATATGCATGACAGCTCATGCGCGTGGAAGAGTACGTTTGAAACCTTGTTCTCCGAAGAGAACACATCGGCTGGAAGCGGATTATCTCGGCTAAACAGTTTCTTGGCCACAATGCAGAAAGAAATGTCAATATAGGTTCCATCACCTCAGAATGCCGATGTAATAGAACCTAGGGGACAGTTGTGGAGATATATTTTCTGAGTACCAACACGTGGCAAGGTGACGCCGATGTGTCAGCCGACGTGCCACGTGTCTTGGTCATTGTGCCGAGGTCATCTCGGCTAGGCCGAGGTTTCCTCCGAAGATATCGGAATCCGAGATAAACGGATAAGGGACAAGAGTCCTAAGAAGAACAGGGGACCTAGGGGACAGTTGTGGAGATATATTTTCTGAGTACCAACACGTGGCAAGGTGACGCCGATGTGTCAGCCGACGTGCCACGTGTCTTGGTCATTGTGCCGAGGTCATCTCGGCTAGGCCGAGGTTTCCTCCGAAGATATCGGAATCCGAGATAAACGGATAAGGGACAAGAGTCCTAAGAAGAACAAGGGACTTAACCAAGATAAGGATAAACCTCTTAGGGAGTTTATCTTTATCTCTTGAGGAGTCCAAAGTAAGCACAGAATTGGAGTACATAGAAGTCATACTTCTAGTGGGACTTGGATTGAGTATAATATAAAAGAGAGGCACCCCCGTGGGTCTAAGGTATGCAATTTATGTTTTGAGTATTAAGTTTTGCACTTGATTATCTTTGAGAGATATACTGACTTGATCGTCGGAGTGCCCCCGGGTGGAAGAACCACCGCCGGAGCCTATTCTTTCTGTTTCAGGTTGCTGAAGCCATCTATTCTGCCTGTGCTCTCCAGTTGATCACTAAGCAAGCAGTGTGGTCAGATTTTCACCCACACACTTATTTTGTATATTTAGATCTCTTCATCTTCTTCTCTAAATTTTAATTATTTTCTTTTCATCTTCTTTCTTACTTCACAACTCCAATTCACTCTACCAAAACTCACAATTATCATCAACATCATTAGTGTGTTTGTTTTGGTTTTCATAATCAATTTTGAAAAATAAATTTTTAAAAATTTATTTGATTGTATATTTTGAAAATAATTTTTAGAAATTTAAAAATTCAAAACTTGTTTGGTTTGGAGATTTTTATTTCTTGTGTTTTGTTATCTTTAGTAAACTTTTTTATTTTGTATTTTTGCCAATTTTTTTGGGGTAAATTACATATACACCCTTTGAGATTTGATTAAAATACAAATTGTCATCTTGAGATTTTTAATTTCATAACAAATCTCTCATTTTATTAATAAATTATCAAGTCAATTAACAGTTTTTTATAATGTTAGAAATATGTTTCAATTAATAATTTAAGTAATTTTATTATTGCATAAGAGAGTAATTATGAATTTTATTTTTTTAGTTAATTCTATTAAATAAAAAAATTCTAATAAAGAGATATTTGTAATTTTTTAAATTACAAGAAACAATTTATACTTTAAGTAAATCTCAAAAAGTATATTTATAATTTATAATTTTATTTATTTATTTATTTTATTTATTTATTTTCTGTTCAGATGCACTGATCTAAATAAATGAAGCATACAAGTCTCAAGAACGATGTTTCCACTTTCAGGCCCCACTACTGCTCTTCTTGGCTTTTTTCCTGAGGTTCTTGCAACTGCAAATGGAATAATACACTAAAATTTTGAAGTGGGTCGAGCAAATTGTAAACCCTAGCCCCCAAATTCCCATCACCTGTTATACAAAAAAATGATCAGTCAATCATAACATACAGTAACATCATTTGAACCTAAACTTTTCAAAAAAGGGCTAGAAAGAAGAAAAAAAACAAGTAAAAACGCAGAATCCATAAAGGCAAATTGGTTTTGTATGTCTTCCATTGATTGTAAAGATGAAGTGATTGAATTGGGTTTGTGTGAATATACAAAGATTATAGATAAAAGAAAAAGAAAAAGAAAAAGAAAAGAGAGTTAAACATACCTTGATCGATTCGATCGGAGACGGAATCAGAGGTGCTATAACTGATGCAACGTTTCTGCTGTGGAATCGGTAAAAGATAGCATAACTGACATGAGTTGTGAGAACTATTTACTTATAATTTGTTTGGCTGTCTGTGCTTTCATGTAAGATGTCCTCCTTTTTTAGGTTATAATTTAATTGTGGCTTGGGATAGGATAGCTGTTGTGGGTTATTACACGTCTGTAGTTTTTTTATGCATCGTGTTCATTTATGTGTGCCCCTGTCACTGGAGTCCAGTGTCCCTTTCCCCACCCAACCCCTCCTTGTTCTAAGTTTCCATTCCAATTTTTTCCTGAAAATCTAAGTGATTCGTGATTAGATCAAGATTAAAATATTCCAAATCCCAAAAAAATCCAAAACACACAATCTAAATCAACAAGCACTTACGAAAGTGATTTAGATTGTTTGTTTTTCAGATTAAATAATAAATCGACACAAACGATTTTAACGTGGAAAAAAAACCACAATTGGACACCTCCAACTATGATTAAAAAACCACGGGCGAAACGCCACAAATCAATCCACTACTGAAGTAAAAAGATTACAAAGATATCATACAAAGATTACCCAATTTAGTCAATCTGTCTTCGAATCTTCTGTAACTCTTTTTCACGACTTCGTCTCGGAACTGATCAATCTTGAAGTTGATTCCACAACCTCACTCACATATAGAATCAAACACCTTTTGAAACTATACGCTAGAATCTTCGGAATCCACCGAAGAGAACTCTCTCTTGAATTTAAAGAAACCAACTCCTTGATGTATGTATTTTAGATCATGAGTGAAGAACTCTTCTCAAGACATCAAGGAAAACTCACCAAAATCTCTCTACAAGAAGACCTCAGAAAATCTCAAAGTAGATCTAAAAAGTAATCCTAAAGCTTGGAGAAACCAACTACTTATAGATTTCCGGATTCTGAAGCTCGCTCGAGCGAAGCTTATCTCGCTCGAGCGAGAAGCTTATCTCGCGTGATTTCCATAAGTACCTTCGCTTGAGCCATAAAGTCTTCGCTCAAGCGAGGAATAAACTCTTTCAGGTTTATACGCAGATGCAGTTCTTCGCTCGAGCCTCCAATGCTTCGCTCGAGCGCACAATGACCTCTTTCAGGTTTGCAGCCAGACGCAGTCCTTCGCTCGAGCGAGGCCTTCTTCGCTCGAGCGAGCAACACAAAACAGCACAGAAATTACAACTCGATTACATAAGTTTGTTCGTGGAATTTACAAGACTTAGAGACCTAACATTTCCTTTTTATCACATCTGCTTGGCGCTCATAAATTTATATGATTCGAATGCATGCCGATGGCTTATTTAATGTTGTGTTTAACAGGATGTTTACCTACTTTGGCTACAATACCAGTCTGGGTTGGTTTATATCAAGCTCTTTCAAATGTGGCAAATGAGGTAGTTAAGAAGTTGTTAAATCTTTGGCTTTTAAACAATGTCGATGGAATTTTTTTTTTTTAAATGCAGAATAAATAGTTTATTTCTGATTTTTCACATCATCTTTACTCAAAGGGACTGCTGACAGAAGGTTTCTTTTGGATCCCTCTTTCGAAGGCCCAACTACAATAGCTGCTCGACAAAGTGGAGCTGGAATTTCCTGGCTTATTCCGTTTGTGGTAATAACACCATGTTCTCTATCCATTGTCTTTGTTGTTTCTTTTATCTATATTTGGAATTTTATTTCTTTGACATCATTTTTTATGTTGACGTCCCTTATCATGCATGCTTTGTTCCAAACGCTTGAAAGGAACCAACATAACTATATGTTCATCTGTTGAAACGTTTTGGCTTGAAGAACGTTGTTCAGTGACAAAGGCATGGACTAGGAGAATCTTTTGTTTTTCACCAACTCTCATCGGTACAGAATAAAAGTTCATTTGTAGATGACACCATCTTCTTCTGTTCTGCTGCCAATAATTACTTGATCAAATTCATTATTTAGTTGGAGATTATTTCAGCCATGTAGATCAACCTAGGGTAGGTAGGTCATTGATTGGCAGGTAGGATTTACATCCTGTGTAGGGACAGATAGGATGCAGATATCTTAACTTTATTTCATTTGTTCATTATATGGTTACAGAGGACTGGTTTTGTTGCAGTAAATTAGTGTGCTGTAAATGTGAGTATGAATTTCTTAATTTTCATGACCAAAAAAAATAAATAAATAAAGCTTTAGAGGATTTTGACACTGATTGAAAGATGTAACTAGAGATATCTACATGAACTCAGGGACTAGATTTCTTACATAATGGAAAATAGAGTAAACTCTCAACTTTATAAACTCCACAATAAATTAAATATTACAAATTCAAGGTTTTCTGCAGGACGGGGAGGTTTTGGAAGAGGTTTATGCTTCTAATGGAAGTAAACCAGTTCCAAATTATTCTAGGCCAAGGAGGAGTAAGCCATTGAAGCGGAAGCGTGCAGTATGAAAATGTATACTTACTTGAGAGTAGATACAGCGAGTCCTGCATATTTAACCAACATGTATCTTAGTCAATATATAGCGGCCATTTTTATTTTGTCTAATTCATATGGTCCTGCTTGCGCATATGTTGAAAATTACTTATTGAAAAGGCCAAGCATAGTATTTGGAACAAGTCAAGAGTTTTTGCACTCTTTTAGGAAACCAATTAATCACATTCTTTTGAAAATTAGAAATTGTTGAACCATAAATCCTAGCATTAGATTTAAGTGGCAACTCATAGCTCTTGAATACTTTGAGGCCATGTTTGATTCACAATCCTAATAGTGAGGTATTAATAATCCTATCAAATTAGTGTGATATTAACTATCCCACCCCTACCCCATTACTAATAATCCTACAAATTTGTTGGATTAATTATCCATTGAATTAATAGTCCTAAACCAAAATGTCAAAACAAACATAGGATGATTGGGCCCACGGATTAATAATCCTAATCCCATGCTTTAATCCTTCCTATCAAACATGCCCTGAGGGGTTGAATTTTATGTCCTGCATTGTTTTATTAGAAAGTTCATCCCTACTTACTGGCTCCCATTATATGAGGGTCTTGGGAGGTGTAGATTTGAATTTGATATAAATCTTAATATTTGGCATAATATGCACAAATGGTTATCCTAAGACTTAAAACCCACAAACTCACACTCGGCATCTAGAGTTATGATCCGGTGCTTTTTTTATTATATAAAAAGAATAAAAGAAAAATAGATTTTATCTGGATGGATATTGCAGAGTCTGCAAAGTTGAATGCTTTAGCAATTGTAGCTTGAGCAAAGACACTTTCTCTGTGTTAATAGTATGTAGATATTATAATAGTAGATAATATCTGTAGATATTATATTTAATAGATTATATTAAATATAGATAGTTGTTGCATAGTTGTTGCTAGCCTAGCACAGAGATGCTTTCTTTTCCTTTTGCTATCTTTCGGTGGCTTCATCATTTTGTCTTGTAAAACATCTCCTATATAATGGAGGTTCCATTTGGTTGCAATACACATAAAAAACACAGAGCTAATTTGCTCTCTCAATCTCTCTCAATTTCTTATATGGTATCAGAGCACAGGTTTTCTGCCTAGCCTCTTCTTCTAACATATTTTTTCTGCAGATTGCATTTCATTCGTATCCCTTTTTCGCCCATCTCTGAAATACAGTTTTCACCACACCAGAGCCTTCGTCTCCTCCGGACGATTCCAACGCCACCAATTTCAGCCCAATCATACGTTACACGCGCTCTCACGCGCCACTTCTGTGAACGGCGCGTCGCCTGCCTCTGCCTTCCGCCTCACGCGCGCTCTACGCGTCCTCCACACTGTCCCGTGCTAACGTGCACCGCGCACTACCTTGCTAACGTGCGTCGCGTGTTTCTGACGTCAGCACACGTCAGCCCTCTCTGCTACCGTGCACTGCCTGGCCTGTTTTGCTAATGTGCGCCGCGCCCTTTCTTGCTAACGTGCGCCGCGTGTTTCTGACGTCAGCACACGTCAGCCCTCTCTGCTACCGTGCACTGCCTGCCTGTTTTTGCTAACGTGCGCCGCGCCTTTCTTGCTAACGTGCGCCGCGCCCCTTTGCCTCTCATTTTTGTGCCTCTGTGGTCATATTTTGGGTCGTTTCACTCCTTTTCCCACTAATTTCGGCCTTCTGAATTCACTGGTAACCTCGGTTTTTTCAGATTCTACCACCATTGTGCTATTTTTCCCTCATGGATCGCCCGGATTCCTCTAATCACCCTATTTCCGTTATTCTTGACGGGACTAATTATGTCCTTTGGGCACAAGCCATGTCTGGCTTCCTCAAAGGCAAGAAACTTTGGCGTATCATTACTGGGGATGTGTGCAAACCAGTCCCAGCAACCACGGAATCCGCTGCCACGGACTCCGCTGCCAAATATATCGACCGACTAGAAGATTGGGATAGTAAAAACTATCAGATCATCACCTGGCTTCGCAATACTTCTATTACATCCATCAGCCTTCAGTTTGGTAGGTTCCAACTTGAGTCTGCTTCCTCTCCAGCCAAGGCCATCTGGGATTTTTTGCAAGAACGCTATCAGACTACCGGTCTTGCTCACCAATATCAGCTTCTGAGTCATCTTCACCGTATGCGCCAAGAAAACACTCAGACCATTAATGATTTCCTCTCCCAAATGTATTATGTTTGGGATCAACTCGCTCTTTCTGAGCCTCCATGGCCTCATACTGAGGATGCTGCCTTGTTTACTACCTACCGTGACCAACAGCGCTTGGTTCAGTTTCTCATGGCTCTCACTCCTCGTTTTGAGCCCGTCCGCGCATCTCTCCTACATCGCACTCCTTTACCCACTCTTGAGCAAGAACTCCTGTCCGAGGAAACCAGGTTTGGTACTCTCCATCCACACCCTGTGGACTCTGTTCTTGCTACTCCCCAGATTCAGAGTTCTCCTTCACCACAGCGGTCCACTACCTGCAACTATTGTCACAACCGCAATCTTCCATCGACTCATCTTCTGGTTCATTGTCCCGTTCGTCTTTGTCGATTTTGCAACAAGACTGGCCCCGGTCATCTCCAACAAGATTGCTTCCGCAATCCTACCCGTGCCTCTCGCCATGGTCCTTCCACCGAGAATTTTTCCCGCAGCAACTCTCACCGTTCTGGGACTCCATTTAAAAACATGCCTGCTCCACGCACTGCTGCTGCCGCCTCCGAAGATTCACCTTCTTCTGTCCCTATAGACCCTTCCACTCCGGTCTTCTCTCATACCGATGTTGAAGCCATGTTTCAACATTTTTGGCAGCATTCCGGTACTCCTCCATCTACTGCTCTGTCTACCACTGCAGGTAACACTTCCTGGTACTTTGACTCCGCTTGTTGTAATCACATGACCTTTGATCCTACTATTTTTACTCCTCTCTCTTCGACTCCTCATGTTCCTTCTATCCATACTGCTGATGGGTCTCTTCTGTCTGTAAGTCATGTTGGGTCTGTTTCCACCTCTCACTTATCTTTATCCCATGTATATCTTATGCCTGCTCTCACTTTAAATCTTATCTCCATTAGTCAATTATGTGAGCATGGTCTAACTGTTACATTTTCCCATACTGGTTGTTTGGTGCAGGACCCTCGGACCAGGCAAACTCTTGGGATAAGCCGTAAGCAAGGACGTCTCTACGAACTTATCCATCTTCATGTTCCGGATTCCTCTCAAATCACTGCTCCTACCACTACTACCACTACTACCACTGCTCCTCCTTTATCTCATTTTCAGCTTTGGCACTATCGTTTGGGCCATCTTTCTGTTGGTCGTTTGAAGTCTTTAATTTCTAGTGGTCATTTGGGTACTGTAAGTTCTGATGCTTTCAATTGTGTGTCCTGTCAACTTGCAAAACAACCTGCTTTGTCGTTTAATAAAAGTAATTCTGTTTCTCTTGCGCCCTTTGATCTCATTCATTCTGATATTTAGGGACCCTCTCCTACTCCTACTATGGGAGGCGCACGTTATTTTGTTGTTTTTATAGATGATTTTTCCCGTTTTACATGGTTGTTTCTTATGAAAAATCGCTCTGAACTCAAACAAATTTATTACAATTTTGCTGCAATAGTTAACACACAATTTTCTAAAACTATCAAGATTTTTCGCTCCGACAATGCCATGGAATATAAAGATTTTGACTTTCTTTCCTTCCTTAGGAGTCATGGTACTCAACCTCATCGTTCCTGTCCAGGTACGTCCCAACAAAATGGCCGTGCTGAACGAAAACATCGGCATCTACTTGACACTACTCGAGCCCTCCTTCTCTCTTCCTCTTGTCCAGAAAATTTTTGGGGTGAAGC